AACTCAGCAATTTGCTCTGTAGCTTACGAACATAGATTTGTACAGTCTCCCTGCCTATTAGTAGAGTTGAAGTGGCCGACTTCTCCGCCCGGCCGACTTGGTGACTGGCCGACTTCTCCTGCAGGCCGACTTGGCGATTGGCCGACTTCTCTCGTATTCAATGGATTGACACAGTATTAAATAGTGGTTGAATAATAATTTGTGTCTGGCAGTAAAGTAACGATCGTGACATACCGACGACAATTAATGATATCCAGCGAATGAATGAAAATCTCACACAAATTGCGTGAAAAATCACAAATAAGGTTAATCTGTATGTGATTGGCACAAATTCTTTTGCTAAAGATGAGGTATTTTTCCCACATTCCGTTTCGTTATGTCGCCGCCGTTTATGTTTCTTGTTAGGACAGCGTTGTTTACACCTTTCAACGTTGTCCGGTTGCTATGATCACATTCGTAAGAAAACTACGCCCTTCCAATGATCGGTGATAATATATAACTACCAAGTAAACTTCTAGAAGTATACGGGTAACAAAATTGTCAGAATTTACCTCCTCTTCCAGTGCTTCGTCTTCCAATATTTCATTAGCACGATCTACTGACACTTCGTCTTGCGTCGCCATTTTGGTTTGTCCAAGCTCCGTCTAGTGTTCACCCCCGGAATTCTTTTGTTTTTATGGTATTCGAACCCGTCGTTTGCAGGCATGATCGTACATGTTTGTTGTACCTAACATCAGAGGGGACTCGTTTTCTGTTGTGTGGATTGTGTGAAATATGTTTTTGTTGTACTCATGACATATTTCGTTTGATTATCAGACCTGACTCGTTTTCTGTTGTCATGGTGTGGATTGTGTGAAATTTGTTTTTGTTGTACTTATCGATGGGACATATTGTTCGATTATCAGACGCGATTCGTTTTTTGTTGTGTGTGGGTTGTGTGAAATTTGTGTTTGTTGTACTCATGAGATATTGTGTTCGATTATCAGACGTGACTCGTTTTTTGTTGTGTGGATTGTGTTCTTATGTCAATAAGTATTACCGTTATGATTGAAATTTGTTTTCCTCGATTGATTCCGTTATCATGTGTGCACATATTTGCCAATGACCTCTGTAATTTACATGAAATATTTTATTTCTGGAGTTAAATACTACTGGTACTTGTCGATGGTTACACGTATTGAGTTTAACTTTGTGTGGATAGTTTCTACACATCGAGTGTGTATGTCTGTTATCGCCTCTTTCATGGAACACCCACATCAAAGAACGCATGGTCTGCATTTGAGAAAGACTTTAAAAAATAATTATAATGAGGCAATCACGAAACAGTCAATATAAATTACATTAATAAATACATTGACGTCATCGTCGTTTCTTATATGTCCATACCAAAGTACGCCAGACCATTTGTCCCAGTGTTGACACGAATGATAACAGCTTGACTTTCCGTCTTCTCATTTCCCATGACTTTCCTGTCTCAAGCTGTGATTGTATGGTTCTCATTCCTTTATGCTTCCGTTTTTTTTTCTGTCAATTCTTATCGGTTGTTTGTTTGGTGTTCTTGGAATTGTAAATTTCCATATATGACTTTTGTAAAAAGATCTACGGTTGGTTATATTATTTCCATTTTCATATCTCTCACGGGGATATGTGTTCTCAAATTGACACTCTGTTTTCATTTTTTGTTCATATTTAGCATGATTTTATATATATTTACAAACGATAAATATGCCATCTGAAGTAATTTTATATCGTCTAACTCTAGTCTTCTAGGCCCATTGTGTAAAACAACATGCCTTTCATTTAGTGACTGGCATTTTTACATAATAAGATCATGATTGGCCAATAAAGCGAAGACAAAACAAATAGTGCAATTTCATTAATTTGGAAAGTAACACTTCTAAACAATCGTTTCATTCACTTCTACCCGCATGAGTACATTAGCACTTCCACCCAGCGTCGATCACGTAAACCTATTGTCCAGAGGAAACATTTGTTTACTGCAATGCAATCAATGAATGAAATGAACAATGTTCGTGGAAATATACGCCAGTGTAGAAATTGTTATTTCCTGTGTCTTTCGGCGTGTCACCATAGTTCTGTATAATCTTAGTCACATTCCTTGCTAAGTTTTGCTATTTTAGCTTCTAGACTATATATTTATCGTCGTAACAATATATGTGTTGCCTGATACCCTGACTAGTGTATTTGGGTGTGGTAACATCACACTTGACATCACGTTCTCACCTTGTTGTCGAGGACAAATTAACGCCTTTCTTACCATGAAAACACGTATATAAACACATACAGTGTTAAGGTAATAACCTACTCATAATTTTTGAGAAAGTTGATCACAACTCGCGTGACAGTGTTCATTCAGTTGATTTATTATGTCAAATCCTTTGTCCCATGGTACAATAAAATAGCATTGTTGTGTGCGTTACAGTGATGTTTTTTGAGAAATTTATTTTTGTTTTCAAAAATAACTATTTTTAGAACAATACAATAGAGCACATTGTTTAAATTGTAGGTTTTTGAAATAATTCAAAACAACAAATAGTACCCCACCATTACCAATATATGATTTTTCAGCTTATACGTCACCAGCCTACAATTCACGATATGGCATTATATCTCCATAGGAGCCTATGGTAAAGGCGCTATATAATACTGATACAAAATGGCAACTATCCACTAATTTAAAATATAACCATTATTGTCTCGTCATTTATATTGCATTGGAGTACAATTTATTACAAAATGAATACGCTCTGGGTATTTTTCATTTATGAGTAAGCTTCTGCCTTAATCAAATACTAGTATGCAGTTCTTAATCTTGGTAAAATTAAAATCTCATGGTAAAGTGTTTAGGCTTTCTGCTAATCCTGAATAAGCCTATTAAACGTGTCTTTTATATTATGTTAGCCAATTTATACAAATTGTCATGTGATTATTTCCGTGCATGGCAACATAATGAGACGCTTGCAAGCCAGGTGTTAACTTGTCTAGTGAGGCGCATTGTCCCCGTGCAGGACGTCCGAGCTGACACACTACGATAAAGAATCAAAAGTCAACCCCCTCCCCTCAAGCTGTCACCGATAATAAAATGGGGCGAATTAAAACAATGACAGGGTGCAGCAGACGATCGCTATAATTTGGAATTTGAATTTGGTGATTCAACTCACAAACTCGCCACTAATATCATGTGGGATGTGTGAATTGTTTGATTCTAGTGAATTGCATTTATTAACACGTGATACAACTAAACTATACTTAGTATTTCCATGGTAATTTCATGCTTGATTCCGAAAACTCTGACGTCACGTGAGAACGGATGTACTGTTCTAATAGCAGGGGCGATGAAAAGCAATAATTAAATACCGGACAAGTAAAATATATGTTTTTTTAAAAACAGTTGGTTGTTAGAATCAAACCATCGCAATAAAATTTACGAGTCGTGGCGATTCCTCGGATCACAGGTTAATGATCACGTGAAAGAGTACCTCGTTCACACGCCAGGAAGATTCATCTACGTAACAAAAGCTTACGAGGTTTAAAGAGTGCATCATTTTACACATTTAGGTTTCCATAGTTATCGCTCCACTGTGGGAATCGCCAATACAACATGGAATACTTGTCAGCATAGTCCATGCTATTCAAATCTCAATCGTCTCCTTAATGGGCACTGGAGACACGGGCAAGACACCTATTCGAAGATTTAAAAAGATTCATCACTCAAATCACGGCTCCTGTGGCGATCTACTTGTTCAGCCGGCACTTTCAAGTTCGCCCCCAACCAGTTGGCTAGCGCTTGTTGTAAGGCTCTCATTGACATATACTGACTGTAATATACTCGCCACGTCGGAGACGGGGTTTTAACATCGCGTTTATAGTTGCTGCGCGGGTTTTAAGAATTTACAGTGCTGTTCACTAATTCCAGGTTGGTTCAATTACGCTTACTCTATTCGTAACCAACAGATAAAGTATATTCGACATCAACACTGCGGCAACTGCCTGGGCAACGCCGATACTGTGGAAAACACCGGGATGAACTATCTCGAAAAACAGCAATAATCATTATATACTTTACAACGCACTCGGTACACTGAGTAAGACAACAGCATTACAGTGGAAGAAGTCTGGTCTGGGAAGACTCGGGAACTATCTTAGAACATTCGTACAGTGGCTTTATATATTTACCCCGTATTACCAAAGAACGTTATTTTGTGTACAATAATATGCCTGTGAACAACGGACTCCGTAAATCTCCTAGTGGGAGCAATAACTCACTTCGTTGTGCTGCTAAAGCCAACTCGAACAATAACAATAACAGTCCAAAAATTAGCCCACGGTGTCATCGGACGGGGAAAATTATCAAACCATATCACATAGTGGTACTTGGTGCTCCAGGTGTTGGCAAATCAGGTAAGTTATTTTAAATCTAGTATTCTGTACTATAATATTACTATTTTTCAATTAAACCCAAACGTGCACAGAAACCAACAACAGCCAGGCTGGAAATGTATTTGCATTGTACAACAGTTACGACGAGTTGGGACTTTTCTTGTATGTTACTAATAATCTCATTATAATATTGTTTAATTAGTCTGATGAATTAATAATATCGAATCTATCTAACTTATTAGTGACACTTATGATGGCCCATCGTGTCACCACAGAACTTCGTTGCATATGCCACGCGACTAGTATTCGAATTGTGCGGTTATACACCGTGTAATGTATTACAGTACACGCATTCAAGGCATGCTTGTCGAATATTTGACTCTAGGTCGATCGTATCCACGAGACCCAGGGTACTTACTTATTTTCATCCGCAATGCCAGCGGGGATTACACGGTACTGCTGGCAATGATGGGGTTAATCTGAACACAGAGTGACATACAGCGCACGCTTATGTGTTTTACCGTACGAGATCCCGGAGTTCTACTCCAGTTTATCTCCAAGCCTTTAGGGAGTATTACGAGTGTAGTCTAGCAATAACGGAGATTATCCATACATGACGTACAGTACATCCTGAGTATCCTACTATCATGCCATGCCACTTTTGCTATCGATCTCTAGCAATGCAAAATCCTTTGCTGCCAGAGAGGGGGGGGGGGGCGGGGGCGTATACGCGTGTTGGTATCCAGCCTTCGACCAATGCCACAAACTGGAAGTCATGGATCCGTTGGTCCGTTACAAACAAGAATATTGCTCACCGTCCGAGAAACTCTATACATAATCTGTGCTAGGTATTCTGGCCCAAGTTCCTGTATATTTGACCCGGCCAATGTGTGGGTAGAACATGTGATTGCTTGTCCCTTTAGTATAACAAAGCCAATGTACAGACTTTCTCTGAATTCACCGATGAAATAAAAAGTAAATTCAACAAAACGACGGAAATTCAGACAAAAAAGTACAATAATATTGAGTTACAAAGATATTCGGAATATAGCATTTCTGATAAAACGTGTCCGTTTCAATTTCATTAAAGTAACCGTATATTAATAACAACACATGGTTGTTGTCTTCATTAAATATTCAGTGGAATCACCCATGTGAAGCGACCTTTTAAATAATCGCACTCTCCCCTGCGAAGATAGCGCCATACGCGTACTATAACATCGTACAAACACATTCGGGTTCATGCCAGTGATATTCAACTACGTGTATCATGCAACGTCACAATCTTTAAAATGATTACTGTGAGCGGTGAACACGCTCACAAATGCGTCAGCCACAGGCTCTGCTTTATACTGCTGTATTAAATAACTCATGTCTGATGTGCACATCTACGAGTAAATGTATTAATAATATTGAATTGCTATAATAACCTGAGAGACACTTGGAAATCGCATTTTTGATAAGTTGATATCAGGTTTTGCGTCATATCTTGCAATAGTTAATTACTCACATTTCTGCATCAAATATGAGAGACCATCTACCTTAAGGAGCTTGATAAAATAAATGCAAGAGGCAATGTTTTTGATGTAAATCACGAATGAAAGCTCTACGTATTGGGATCATGATATGAGCATTGCCAATGGCAGATGTATGCATACGCGATGCATCATGATTACCCACGTTGACATTCTATTGAATTGTGGATACTCGGGATATGTCTAGTATAGGTAGAGAGACTATTAACTCAATACACATACACCCGTACAAAATTGACAATTACGAAATGTCAAACACACTAATTAATACTGCGATCGATACTTGAATCACGCGAAGAGCGTCGAGAATCACTTGTATAAAAGCGTCATATGCCTACATCAATGATTCAACACTTTTCAGAGCCAGCGAGTAGTTTCGTGAACTATTGATCATGCCATATGCCACTACGTATTTGTGACGTATTACACAAATGCCGTCACGCACATATAAGAGGGACATATCAAAATACACACATACTGTGACATACCGCCCAAGTGTTACGTATATGACACGCTGCAAAGTACGTAATAATATGACATAATCCCCGAGTACATTTATACTGTGACATACTGTCAAACTATGTAATAATATGACATATTGCCCGAGTACATTTATACTGTGACATACTGTCAAAGTACGTAATAATATGACACATCGCCCATGTAGTGTCATGCTGCCCGGGTACATTCATTCTGTGTATACCCATGATAAGACATGTGCCCACAAATAGTTACCAACGTACTTACATGACAAAGCGGCGAACGATGTACAATGGGCCAACAGTTATCTACCGGTTGGGCAAATTATTAAGAGCTGGAATGAATACCATTTCATTAGTGCTATCTCTGTGCTATGATTCGTCTACTATTACTCACTGTCTTTCTTGACACTGTTGACGAAGGGTTCTGACCCGAAACGTCTTTTTTGAATTTCCTTTCGCTCATGTTGCGCCATTTCATTCTTTGGTTGTATTGTTTTTTTGTTCATCTCGGCACATTGCAGTTCTTCTTGTGTGTCCCATTTCTCATAATAGGACATATTGTTCAAGTACGCACATATAGTGACATGCTGCCAAAGTACGTACATAATAAGACATGTTACCTAAGTACGCACATACAGTGACATACTGCAAAAGTACGTACATATTATGACATGTTGCCTAAGTACGCACATATACAGTGACATGCTGCCAAAGTACGTACATAATATGACATGTTGCCTAAGTACGCACACACAGTAACATGCTGCCAAAGTACGTACATAATATGGCATGTTGTTTAAGTACGCGCATGCAGTGACATGCTGCCAAAGTATGTACATAATATGACATGTTACCTAAGTACGCACATACAGTGACATGCTGCCAAAGTACGTACATAATATGACATGTTACCTAAGTACGCACATACAGTTACATGTTGCCAAAGTACGTACATTGTACATAATATGACATATTACCTAAGTACGCAATACAGTGACATGCTGCCAAAGAACGTACATAATATGACATGTTAGATAAGTACGCACATACAGTGACATTCTGCTAAAGTACGTACATAATATGACATGTTACCTAAGTACGCACATACAGTGACATGCTGCCACACTACGTACATAGTATGGCATGTTTTTCAAGTACGCAC